CAAGCCATTGAATCAAATAATACAAATAACACGCTCATAATTTCAGAAACAATTGATATTAATAATATATTATTCTGTTCTTATGGTCATAGCAATAGCGGATTGAGTATTAATTATAGTTCAATGCTGTATATTAAAAAAATATATAACAATAGAATTTATTATAATTATTGATTTGTATATGCTTAGTGTATAAGTATATATTTATTCTGTTAACTATTTCAAATAATTTATATTTTGGCAAATATAATGCTAAAATTATTTATTGTATTTTGCAATAATTTCAATATTTAAATCTACAAAACCGATATTTATTTTACTATCGGCTTTTAAAATGACCAAATTAATTTAATTAAAGGATCTGATCTTCGTTGATAGTTTTGACTTTCGCCAAGGGTTTCCTTTCGCAAGAGTTCTGCCTATTGCAAAGGTTTCGCCATTTCGCCGACATGTTTTGTCGCCATTTGCATAAAATGGTCTCGCCTAACAGCTGTACAAGTGACACTTTGTTTTTTTCACTACAACTAGGTATATACTAAATAATAACGTTTTAAATCTTACAATATGTAGGCAATTAAATTTTACATTATTATTTATAAAGGGTCTAGAAAAAAATTTTTGAGGCTCTTGATACCAATAGTCCCGGTTGTTTGGGCGGTATCCCACGACTGTAATGGTCGAGGTTCGAATCCTACGCAGGGCAAACTGCTTGATTCATAGAACCTGCTACTCAACTGCGCCTTGACTATGGCGACCATAAGACCATATACATGGGTGGAACCGAATTTGCTAGAAGTTCCTGAAGAACTAGCAGGTCTTGTGGAAGGTTACCTGATGTCTGAATTGAATATTCCTCGTCGGGGGTACACAAGGAGGGGTGTATGACCGCTCAGTGTAATCGGATCTTCAGATAGATGGTAACTGAAAATGGGATGATAGCTGGCTGAGCCTAAGGGTCGCATGTTGGCCAATTGTCACAGTGGTATAGACGTTTACGTCGAGTGACCCGGTAACATATACCACTTATTTTTTTTTTAATCACAATCGGAAATTTTATTTATATATCTGATATTTATACTTATCGTTATATATGCGTAATAAAGTTATTCGGTTAATAGTTGATATTGTCACACAATAAAGTTTTTCAACTTTTAGTAGTAATATGTATTTAGACAGTATCAACTGTTTTCAAAACTGTCAAAACATAAAATCCCTATATAATACTATATATACACTTTTTTTATTTATTTTTACTTCGTCTTCTAAATCTTTAAGCAGCGTTCCCAACGCCTTCCCTAGCCTCTAAATTCATATAAGGCACTCTCTTACACGACACGCCACAAACACCAGTTGAAATATTATTTGAATGTGAAACATGTAGGTAAATCTAATGATCCCTTTACAATGAGACTTTTTCTGTAACTCTATATATGAAGTGGTGTTAGAATATGAAAGGTGTAAGCAACTGGATTGATAGATCGTATAATAGAAAGTCCTAAAAATATATATCCAGAAGGATCTGGGGGTAGATAATCTGGGCATGGAAAATAACGTGGAAGCTGCTATTATTTAGAATACATTTTAATTTTACTAGATTAGATCATATTAACACATAATTGTTAAAGGATACGTACAATACTTATTCCGTTTTCCTATGATGTTTCTGATTCATCAACTATTTCAAACTTTCGTCTACATCGAGATATTTCCAACTAAACCAACAATTGAACCGTTTAACACATACAAAAGTTGACTCCAAGGAACATCTCCAGAGAAATCGAAAACTCACTTTGTCAATCCTTTAGTCCAGTCCAAACACCATGGAGAATGATGAATCAATGGTTTATCAAATTGCCATCATTTGGTATTTTCTTGTTTTGTTAGCATAGCAGGCGTAAAATAAAAATAAGTAAGGCTGAAGTACAATTATCTGTTTTATATTTAGTTGAAATTTCAGAAGGATCAATTGTTTCAACCAATGCAATTTTAGGTGGATCTTCGATATGATAAAAGTGGAAGTTTTTGATACGATGAATTTATGAATAGAATTGAAATAAATGCGTTGGTCTAGTAAAGTCAAGGATACGAAGAAAGAGATCATATCCCATTCCTATAAGATTCACAAGAATATTTAGTCTCGATATTTTTTTATCGATTTATATATTAATCTGAATACCTTTATCTAGAGGCCTGCATTGGGTCCCGCAGCCCGGGCCTGAAGCAAAATTTTATAATTGCGGGCCGGGCCGGAAATTTAATATATGCGGGCCGGGCCTCAAAAATAGGCAATTCGCAGGCCCTTACCTTTATCCACTTAAAATTATTGGAATGAGTTATACCTCTTCGTCCATATGCATGCCAAAGTCTGGACCACAGGCGATATCACGACGATAAACGATTACCAGTTCACGTAAATAATCCAAATAATAATCGGGATCGTCAAGAGGAGTATTGCTACCAATGTAATAAGATCTATAAGGTTGTTGGATGTGAGTAAATGGTGGTCCTATTTATAATTTGTTTATTAGAGCAAAAGAGACGAAAGTCGAAATATATACCAAAAATATGTTGAATTCAATATGTTGAGAGTTACGGATCCGGATGGCGTAAATTCTGATTGTCCAATATCGCTTTCAATATAAGCAACTTTAGGACAACTAATATTGTAAGAAATTTATAAAAATTAAAATTTGCTGACACACTTGTTATCATGCAGGTCGTCTAATAACGAATTGATACCATACAAATTAAGCATATTTTAAGCAAATATCTAGCAAAAGTTGATTTTCCAACGTTTCGATGTCCACAAATAACGGCGATAGGTGGCACATATAATATTAATTTAAAGCCATTATTATCGAATTAAACCGATCAAATTATAAGCACATATTAAAATTAACTACATCAATAGCGAGTTGATTCGATGCATTCAGTTAAGAATTAGAAATTTGAAGTGATGTTAGCTCAGATATAACTTCAAAAATCTAAGGATCATTATTATCTAAAATAAAATTTAATAAGATTATACCCAGTTCAGGGACGATGATTTTCTGCGGTGATTATGACTAAATTCTGCGTGTGATCAAAGCAAATTCTGTGATTTAATGCGATAAATTTTACCAATTATGCGAAATTCTGTAATACTATTTTGTAATTTTTGTGGTTTAATGTGATAACCTTCTTTTCTAAATCATATAATCCGTAACTCCCCGACGACGTGCTCATAATTTACGTAGCATAGCGGGCTTTCGATGTGATTGGCTAATTTTTGTGGATCACTTTTTACCGTGATCGGGGATTTTATCCAATTAGAAACTGCGTTGATCATTAATTCATATGTTGTTACTATTGTAAATCGGGAGAGCGGGTAACGTAGTACAGTTTAGTTCCAATAGTTAACGTGATATTGGGTATAATTGTAACTACCGTCAAATTTTCACTTTCACGTGATGATCATCCAATAGTGTGTTTCGCTTTAATGTAACGTTACACGATCAGGAAGATCAAAACGAAACGTTCGCTTTTCAAAAATCGCTTATTCCTCAAAAACTAGCATAAGAACCCACCTTTTGAGCTCTAACAAAAAAAATTCCTCGAGTAATTTTACTATTACCCTTCTAAAACCTAGCCCTATTATAAACACTAACCCTAACATAAACGAATTTAAAGATTTTTAAATGCGGTCACGTGAAAGTGAAAATTTTGACGGCGATACTGGGGAAGATTATAATTGTCTAATTACTATTAAAGGAATACTATATTTGGGTAGGTCGATAGTAATTGATCGGAAGGAGTGATAGTTTACAAGTAATCGGGATTGATTTAATTAAGAGTGGCGTGAACCTTAAAGATGTTTTTAAGAGTGATTTGTATAACGATTATAATAAATAATTAATTTAATCACTTCGTAATTTATCGATTGTAATAAAATTCCTATAGGTGGTCTTCCTTAAGTATATTAAACTTTATAACTATATAAGATACGGCTTCTATTTATTCAGGAAAAGGTCTATTCAGCCTTAATGCTTACTTCCTTTATGTTAAATAAAAGACCCAGCATATACTTATATACAAGAATAATGTAATGTAATCAGGAAACGATACTGATTAAACGAAGTTTAGATAAATTAATGTGAGATGTTTTAGAGATGGTATAGTGTTTTATTTGTCTTTAAGATTTTATTCTTAATTTAATTCGTAACTTATTTCGTAACTGGTCCTTTTTTGAAAGGCAAAAAGGACCTATATTTATACAATTTTATTCACGAAGGCTATACTAAGGAATTATAAAAGCGTTTTGAGATCTTTATGAGCAGTCACTTACTTCTTCGTGAACAGTTGCCACATCCATACTATAGTAGCACGAAGCCATACTGCTCATAGTACTAATTTTTATGGCTTATTCAAATATTCGGCTTGGCGTTAGTCCCAACTGCTCATTCTAATGTTTATGTACATAGCTACCACAGTTCTTAAACGTAAACAAGGGCATGAGCAGGACGAATTACAAATAACTATATACAGGACTATAAATAAATAAATAAAAATAAATAAAAATAAGAAAACTTGTGACTTGGAATGAGGTAGGAATCTACAATCCAACAATGTGTGAAATTTTTCAGTTGAAAATTAAAATTTTATAATTAGGTCACAATTAGGTACATGTGTATAAAAATTTATATTACAGTCAGGACATATATATAAAAATTTATAAGTAAATTCATAAGTAATTCATAAGCAATTCATTATTAGACTTACAATTTTTGATCACATAATTATCAAAAATTATGTTATATATATAAGTTTTAAATAAAAAACAAAATAACGCAATCAACATAATAAACTATAATCTTTTTATTTTTATTTTTTATTTTATGAATTATAGAAGTAAAAAATTTTAATATATTAATAAATTATTCCGTATTGTTCTAAAATTAACTATAGTTATATTATAAAATTGATCTATATTATTTAAAATTATATTATCAATCTTAGCAATACTAGTATTTTGCTCAATAGTATTTTGCTTAGTAGTTTTTGTAATATTTTGTTTACTTTTACTTCTAACTATTATTACTTTAGCTAAATTTACTGTTTTGTCAAAACTTTTACAATTCTTTTCAATTTTATTTACAAAATAGTTCATACAATACTTGCATTAACAGTCTAACCTAAATAATAAACATTTAAAATAATAAGCATAATCACAAATAAGTATAAATCTTATTTCACATATTCTTATACAGTCTTTCAAGTCATAATATATATTATTTTATAAAAGATGTATAGAATTTCAGATTATTAGTAAAGTTTTAATATTAATATCATTTTCTAATATTAAAAATCTATATTTTGGATTTTTTTAAATTAACTAACCTATATTTTTATAAATATTAACAAAAAGTTTTAATAAAAATACTACAAATTATTTTTTAAAAAACATCAGTTATTTTGTTATATATCTAATATTATAATCATTAGAAAAAGTTTTTACAAAGATATTATTATTATATATCAGATCTATCATTTGTATTTTCTAAATAATTTGATTTGCTATATTAGATAGTTGTACTTAATATCTAATTGAATTATAAAAATTTTCTATATAATAATTGTTAAAAACATAAAGAAAATTAGTAAATATTTATATAATAGAATAATTAATACTATTCCAATAAAACATATCACTAAATACAAAACATAGTTTCTTAATAAATCAGTTAACTTCTATTACAAAATATCACAGTATTATAAAGTAAATTTATTTATTTATTTATTTTTTTGATATTAAGATGACCTCTTGGGTCTTTTGATTTTATTTAATAATAATAAATATGATTCAGTGAACTACTAAAAGAAAAGTATACAATTGGCTAAATATGTAACTTTTCTATATTACCTATTTAAAGAGTCCACCTAAAGGTTCCTTACCAATTATCATACCTAATATCTTTGCTTAGATATTCTACTTTAAACCTTCTGAATCTATAAACCTGTTAACTTTA